TAACTTTTACTATATAATAGCGGAGATCATCATGTGATCACGTGAATTTCAGCATCATCCGATTTCAGCATCATCCCCGACAATATGTACTATAAATTAACCGGATTAACCGGTTATGTATAATTTATTCCGAGGTAGCATCAAAAATATCGGTTTCTGGATTGTCGAATAAACGGGTATAACCTCTATATAAGTACAGTAATAATTATGCGCATTATACGTAAAAGCATACAATATGTATATAATTGTTAAATTTTATTTTATCATAATTATCACATTCAATGATAAATCAAAAGATTCCTCGCACAAATAGAAATTATCAAATCACAGAAATGCTTTTCGAATCGCGTAATCTGGGGTCTCTACCTGATGGACAGCATGTATGTATATTATTAAAGGTTTGCTGTAGTTGGCATTTACTATATTTAATTAGTGTTCCTATCCATTATCCATTTATCCATCGAATATCCGGATCTGAATTTATTCAGACATCCGGTTTACTATTGATATTCGGATAATTATCCCGAATACCTGTCAGATATCTGAGCGATTTGAATTATCTGGATAATCAGATACGGATAAACGGATGACGGATTTGGTCCTCTATAATTAATTTAGTTTGAGAAGATTTTATTAATCTGTTTAAATATTTACTGGTTTAATTCATTTATTCATGTTAATTAGTTTTAAATATTTACTGTTTTAATTCATTTATTCATGTTTAATTAGTAATCATAAAAAACATGAATCGCATTTAAATTAAACTCATAATTAAATTGAAATATAAAACAACTTAATTGATGACAGAGTTTCAACTTATAACCTTTTAGTTGTTCCATTCGATAGACTATGCTCTAAGGATCATCGGAATGCTAACAAATTTATAAAGGTCATTTTTTCGAAGATACTGTATTTATCATCATTGTATATTGATATATAATTTATACGTGTCAAATATATATATACCTTAAAGTAATTGTGTAACAAATTTCAAGAACTTGATAGTCTACTTGTCAATTTATTTCTAATTTTTAAGATTTTTTAAGATTTATCATCGTGTGCTACACGGACTTAACATCCTTTAAAGTTTTTTTTCCGATTCATTTAACAAATTTAGAATTATTCCTAAATTAAGAAATGTGAACAATAAAATACGTAATTCATTTTTTTACGTTGAAATCTTTGCCCTCTACCTTCAAATATGGCTGTACACTCAAGACCAGTCTCTATTAAAGAGAGAACACTTTCTTTTCCTTCAATATTACTGGCCTTATATAATCTACAGTTGTACACACACCCCCTGAGAACAAAAGCGATAACTGCTGGGATATTAACAGGTTTACAAGAATTTTTGGCACAGGAATTGAGTGGAACTAAGAGCAAGAGAAAAGGAAAAGCGAAGGAAGATGATAAATTAACGTTATATGATGTAATTGACGAAAGGGTTGCCAAACTGGCGTTATATGGTAAGTTTTTTTCTTTCTTTTTTTTTTGATTTATGTTGAATGCACATTTTTTCGTGTGATAAAGATAATTTCAAATGTAATTTCGCTCAATTCCAGGTTTTTTCATTAGTGGACCACTTAATCATGGTCTTTTCGAGATTTTAAATAGAATTTTTAAAAACCGTACTGGTAGTGGAGTCAAATTTTTACAAATCTTAGTGACTTTATTGATTATCCTTCCAATTCAAAATACCGGTATTTATAGATGACTTTCGTTCTATTATCTTAATTGGTAAAAGAATTAAGGTATTTATATTCGCCTTTTTTTTTCCAGTTTATTTGGCGGCCATGGCATACATTACTGGTATGAGAGCCCCTGAACAAATCCTGACATCAATAAAAAAGTCTTTATTGCCTATAATGAAAATGACCTGGATCGTGTTTCCCATTGTCCAAACTTTTGCTCAAAAATTCTTGGATCCACCACTATGGGTGCCATTTTTCAATTTGGTTGGGTAAGATTTATTATTTATTTACTTTAGTACTTTTATTTATTTTATCGTTACATATTAATCATAATTTTTCTATCAGGTTCTCCCTAGGGTTATATGCCTCTACCAAAGCAAAGATTAAACAGCGAAAACTTTCTGAAGATGATCAGTAAAATATTTAATTTTAATACAAAAGAAATAGGCATTCTAAAAAAAAAATTTTATTCATTTAATATTGTAACAGTTGTTTGTATATTATCAAAATTATCAAAATTATCTAAATTCAAGATAATTTATTATTTTTTTTTTTTGTCATTTTTCATAATTTAATTAAATGGTTTTAAATAAGAAAATTGCCATGATGAGAAATATTTTTATATTTCGACTTTATGAAGCATTTAAGCAAGCTAACCTAATGTTTCTGTTTAAAAACCACGGCAGGATGTTTATAAGACATGAGAGGCAAAAAATGATATAAAAAATATGATGGTTTTAATTTCCAATTTATTATATAACGAATAGTATAATATATTGTATTACCAGATTTTAACCATTACAAATTAAAATTAAGGCTTTCGAAAGTTTCTCGTGTGAAAAAATTACTACTTTGAACTAAATTAAATTTTTTTTATTAAAAATAAAGTCAGAAATTTGATCTTTTTTCTTTTAATTAATTTAGCTATAATATGTGCGGATTATAATGTATGACAAAGTAGTGTTCGATCCTAATTCCCTTACTCTTTCCATTATATCTCAGAGTGAATTGTACATTTTCATTATTCACAATAAACTTCAATTATTAAAGAAAAAAATTGTTGCATACAACAAATCAAATTATGTAATAGAGAATAGTAACTCTTTAATTTAATCGCATTTATAATTTATAAAATGATAATATAGTATATATAGATAATAATAATACACAAATGTACCACATAGTTAACCTTTTTAAGTCAAAACTTATTTGTTAAAAAATCCGATAAAGAGTATTAAATTTTATATATATGAAGGGGGGGGGGGGGGGAGAAAAGGCGATCGGCTCATTGAAGGATTGATTTGACTTAAAAGGTTAAATATATGATGTCTATCTTTAAAACGAATTATGAAATTGTGAATTAAACATTGGATGCAAATCCTCCTTCAACACCTGGTTCAAGTAATGCAGCATGTCCAATTACTAATGTAGCCGAAGCACCTATTTATGGAAATATAATTTATGTTATTAATATTTTCTTTTTAATAAACCAAGTATAATATTAATGCTACATACCGATAATCCAAAATATGGTAGAACCAGCTGAGGATATCCACAAGAGCGGGACGGAAATACCAAACAATCCCGTATATAATTGTTTTTGAGTGATAGTACGATCATGAATAACTAGTCCTTCATTTGGAGGTAGTTTACGAATATAATTTAAGCCACCAAGAAGGAAAAGAATAGTTATAAGCAACCATAAATTTGTGATTCTATTGAAAATTAAAAAAAAAGATAAATTATCGGATTGGCTGAAACAACTAATATGGAAAGTATATATATATATATACATACAAACAGTAAAGTAACAACCCTATAACGACAATGATATAGTTCGATTGAAAGTAAGTTAAATTATAGGAAAGTCTATGTGCAATATCTAATAAGAAGTAGATAAAGTTTCATGTATTATTAAAAGGCCTCAGTTTAAGTATATTAATAGTGCAAATAACATGATAGATTTTGCTTAATATGAAGTGCCTACCTCCCATGCCTTTGGGTTTCGAGAGTCTACTCCTATCAAAAAATTCACCCACAGGTCGAATGTTTCCTAGTCTTTCACTTTTAAACCGATTTAAAAGTGAAAGACGTTCTTGAGAGATTGGAAGGCTATCAAGCCCAAATCCCCCAACTCCCCCAACTCCCCCAACTCCCCCAAATCCTCCCGGAATAGATTGCGAAGTTGAAGTTGCCATAGTTATTTGCTTTTCAAAATAATACGGTTATTTACTGCTTTAGAAAGAAATGTAATACGTATTTCTGTATTTATAGTACAGTAATGTAATTTCGGGTAATTTCAGCTGTTATTACCGGTATTTAAACTTTTTAAGTATAGTGAGATTTCTAACAGCTAACGTTGATTATTGGTCAAAAAAATCGGGTAAAATAATTGGTTTAAAACACGTCATCAGCTGTTATTTATCTGTTCGATGATAAAAAAGAAACAAAGAGAAACAAAAAAAGCAAGTAAAATAATATGTTGAAGTTTTAACAAAGGTTTATTAAAGCCAATTACGAGTTCATTATACTATAGCTATGTAACTTTATATGTAATTTTGTGTAATCTATGGTTAAGTTTATACGTATACAGTTAAAAATCTGTCGCAACGTGCGCAGAACGGACAATAACGATAAGACTAGGCTGACAAAAAATATATATATTAAAAGAATTGGCAATAAAAGATATTTTTATATATATGCTAACATGCATACATATATAGAAGAAAAAGTCAATTTTATTTATGCGGCCTAATTTAATTTTAAACTTCGAAAAAAGCTTAGCCTTTTGAATTAACTTACCGCTATATTAAAATTTTATTAAATTTTATTAAAATTTTATTTGAATTCGAACCAATTTTAGATCATTTCAAACGTAGATTTTTTAGCTGATGTTATCTATACTACAGTATAACTCCTTGTTTAGAAAACTATCTGCGTTTTAATAAAACTATTTTATTTTATATATATATATAATATATACTATGGTATTATCCAATTAATTTACAAAATATTTTTTTGTTCGTTATTTACAGAAAAAAATTTTAAAATCCAAATTTTTCAGAAAAATCATACGTTCAATATTCTATATACAGTATATATCGACTATACATTTTAGGTATTTCTCCATCGTCTATCTACATTCAAAGATTGCCAAACTTCGTAAATAACAGTTCTAGGTCCACCTACAATATCAGAATTTTCACTTTCAAGCATTCGAGCTTTAAGACCACACAAGACACGAAAAGCGAGTTTCCAACATCCTTCATTTTCAACATGTTTTGAAAATGATTGTATATATAGTGCTGCTGCTTTTAATTTCAATTCAAATAAAGTAATATCATGATTTAAATCTGATCTATCAACATGTTTTAATATGTCGCTTTCATAATTTTTTGTGAGTGGGAGATTTGTAAATTCTTCGGTATATTTATAGCTTATAGCCATTATTCTTCCATTTTTTGAATAAACTGAATCTTTTGACGGTGGTGTAGTTTTTGATTCTGAGAATAAATCTTTTTCTTCATCCTCACCTAATACTCTTTTAATTTCATTATTATATTTTCTAAGAATCGAAGCAGTAACATTAATAATCAATTCCAGATCTTTTTTATATCTACCACCGTCATCAAAATTGCTCGCCCTTTCAAATTCTCGTAACCAAAATGCATGAATATGAGGGTCAAGTCCATGTCGAGCATTTAATACAACAGAAAATTCGGGAGAATTGACAAATGCTGTTTCTTCTAGAGCGACTTTCTTTAAGTCATCCATAAAACATACACTTCTAGTATTAGATGATTTATCTTTATCCATCCAAAAAGGTATTGGATACTTTGTATACTTCCTGTCGGAAGAAAATACTAAAGGTTTCAATGACTCTCCCTGTTTAGTAGCATCTAATAATCTAGCATTTACTTGAGCTAAATAAATAGATTTGGGATCTGATAGTCCAAAATGGGATGAATATATTCTATGATAATAGTCATACATTCCTATTGGTGTTAACATATCCTTAAAATATTCATCAAGTATTAATCGTTGAACTTTTTTTGTGCATTGACTCATGTCATCTCTAACAGGTGCTAAATAATTGCCAATTGTCTCAGTATATTTAGTAAATGCATTTTCTACCTCAGGTAAAGTCTCAGCAACAGGTGAGTTTTGAAACAACTCTGTGAGTCTCGGATCCCAACAACAAAATACTTTATCTCCATCATAATCACCTCCACTTAATTTCGATGCTAAAGGTCCTTCCCTTGATTGAGCTTTTACAGGGAAAATTACAACATTATAATATTTACACAAATATGGATTATTGACTGCTCTGGCTTTCTGAACATCAGACGGTAAGGCACACGGATTACGACTAAGTAAAACATCACCTTCTATTATACCTATACGCATTCCTCTTTCATCGTATCCGGCTTCACCATCTAATTGAATGAAAATTTCACCTTCTTCTAAGGTATTTGTCGGATCTGCAACGCAAACAAGAGAACGTGATAATGGCGTTTCAATATGATATTTTGAAGCAATATTTGATAGCTGTCCTTTAAGCAATTGTTTTAATTTCTTGGCCAAATATGGACAAGTTGATGGGGTAAATCCAGCATCAAGCATTTCAATACAAGCTTCTGAAATATTAACCGGAAAACCGGACAAAGAAACGCCACCGGAACCTGAATTAGTGCTGACTTCACTACAATTACTTCCATAATCATTAACGTTAGAATCTTTATTAATAATTCTTTCTTCAATACGCCTACGCATTATATTTCCAGATTTCGCAATCCATGCACGTAACACAGTCGGATCATCTTGTCCTACTACCATTTCTTTAATCTTTTGAATATTTTCTTTTATCATGTCCATAAATACTTGAGCAGGAACGCCACCATTTTCTAATATTCTTATTAATTGAGCATTCAATGTAGCGGGACGATCTGGAGCTTTTATAATACGAACTACGTCAAGAGTCCTTAAGTGATAGTTATTAATTGCAAAATCCAATTTATATTTTGTTTGTGATTGACGCAAGTCAATTCTTAGTTCATATGGATCACGAACTTTAGGATCCAAATACCAAATACCTTTTGCACCACCTATTCTAGCTTGTATAAATTGAGGAGTTTCTTTATAATCCATAATTTTTGCTATTTGACGCATTACAGCCAAAGATATTGGAGCACAACCATCAGTTAAAACTTGACCTAAAACATTTTCTATATCCGGTTGGTCATAACGAATTTGATCGTGACTAAAAACAATTGCAGGATTGGAATCGGAAAATCCTAAAGAAATTCTACTATAAAATTTTGCGGTAGTCATTTTAAGATTATTATCTATTGGAACATCCCAATTAATTGCATCCCAAATTTTTATAGGTTCAAGACACGATCCACTAGTTGCAAAATAATATAAAGAACCCTCTTTTGCATATAAGAACTCATAAGTCCTTCCGGCCAATTCTATAGGATGTAATAAAAGATTTTTTAATAAAGAAAGTTTTCTTTCATCTAATTTTTCTATATCAACTTCTTTATTAATCTTTATATGTAAAAATCTTTCCGAATAAAACATTCGGTAATACCGTTTGGATTGACAAGTTCTAGGAGGATTAATACTCAATTCTAATTTTCCATTCCGCATTGTTACGTCAGCAGAATAATAAATATGCTTTCTTTTTCCTATAGATTTGTTAGTTTCTTGAACTTCCCAAAGTAACCTATTATATGGCATAAGATTGCTTAATTCTTGACCATTAAAATTCCTATTAGAATCCATTAAATGTTCTTTGCAAATCAATTCAAAAGCTTCATAAAAGTCAAAAGCAGTTTTACAATTATTCAATTTATTCAAAATATTTATTGAATAATTAATTGGTCCAAATGGTTTGAATAATCTAACAACTTCATATCGAACCAAAAAAGGGAAACCACACAAGTAATTTTCGTATTCGTATGGAATTTTTGTGGAACAATTTTTCGTACCTTTGGGAATCCAAACTGAATTCAAATCAGTGGAATTACTTAAAGTATTTGAAACAAAATTTACAGGAACTTTGACATTTTTAGAAAAAGCATTGTTAGAAAAAACATTATTAGAAAGATTATTAGAAAGATTATTAGAAAGATTATTGGAAAGATTATTAGAAAGATCATCCTCATCAATAGTCTCGAAAAGAGAAAATTCATCAGTGGTCTCAGACTTTGAATATTGTTGGTGAAGAACTTGTTCAAAGTCCATCTGTAATTGCCGAAACACGTTTTTGTCCATTGATATGCCAGAAGGCATAGATTTTTCAAAAAATTCGTTAATCAAATCATCCAAACATTTTACATCTTTAAACGCTAATTCTTCCATGTAAAATTCGTGAGACAATGTGATGAATGGTTCACCTATTCGATATTTGGACATTAGATTTTCAATCATACGTTTTCTCTCATTTACCACTTTATTAAATGAATTTTGACCACTTGAATCTACGTTAGTTATGCTACTAGAGTATGAATTTCTGTTACGCGAATATTCGCTAGTAGAGCTACTTGAGCTACTAGATTCATAGCGACGGTTTAAATTTAATTGCGTGGCCATAACGATATAACGATAGTAAATTAAGAAGCTTTTTAGACCATATATAACTTGATTGGGTCAACTTAAAAAGTTTTTAATTATTCAGGTGGTTTTTTTTTTCTTTTAAATAAAAATTAAGTAATCGGCTGTTGTTCTCTTTTTAAGAAATTTTATGTCGATATTTGCCTTAAAATACATGGTTACAATTTTTTTTCTTCAAATCTTAAAATATTAATTCCTATCGCGAATTATTCTTGTTTTGGAATTATGTCGTAGTAACATTTTTTTTTGGTTTTTTTTTTTACACTAAACCTTATATTACACTAACAACAATGCAAAAATTTTAACCTAATTATAATTAGATGTGAAAAAAAAAAGTTCTCTCATAAGATAATACTGACACTAATGCAGGTAGCCACTTTTAAAATTATATATACATACACATATACATGATATACATGTGTACGTACTGTAAATGCATACGTACTTTTTAGCAAATGTCTTTGTCTTCTAACCGGAATCGTCGAGTTTTCAAGAAATAAGAAAATTCCGATATTATGTATATTGACGATTACTTTAGTACTTTATAATGTACCATTCAAGAATTTATACCGGTTGATATAATAAACATCAATTTCATTATCCCACGTTTAATTATGATCTAATCACGGGAATTTTAAATATTTGTTATTAATGTTAACGTTAATCAGTTTATTTTTTAGATTTACATGTGCATACCCATTGCTGAACTGTAGGATGATTCCCGGTAGCCAGAAAATTTTTTTTTTTTTAGAACGTACGCAAATGGTAAATGAGTAAGGGAACATTATGAGAGTGGATTCCGCATACAATATAACGCCAGATTTACGTATTTGGAGAGAAAAAAAATTTTTTCAATGATTTTGCCATAAATTAATTAGTATCGCCAGAAATGAAACCAGAGAAATCCCAATCCTTATCGTTATTGATGCGTAATAATTTTCTCATATATATATAGATTTTTTTTCATGATTTTATCGATACGACGAAGGTAACCAAAGCAAAACAAATAAGACGCCACTGGTTTACGTATGTATTACAAACCCCAAGAAAGGGGGGTCAGGAACCATAATCATCTTTAATTTATCTATCATTATCAATTAATAGAGATAATCAATTTTAAAGAACGATAAATAACGATAAATTTTAATTAAGTAATTGTGGTATAATATCCGACATAATATCCGAAATACGAAGAGAAAAAAACATAAAGACAAGCGAAAATGTAAGAAAAACAAAGCTCAAAAAAAAATAAATAAAGATTGATCTTGATTATTTAATATTATAAAAAAATGATACGATTTCATTTGTGTTTTTATAAATAATACCAAACTTGATCAATTCTTACGTGATTCTTATTTTCACACGTTATGTAATACTTGCGCAGATAAGTAAATTCTTGATTATCTAACCCTATGCATCAATAATTAGCTCAATAGTCCAGTATTCCAATTAGCTTTGGTACTAGATAGTAAGAAATCGGGAAACCGCCTTGCATAATAAATCCTTTCAAAACGAAATCATGTTTCAATTTCACGAAATAGACTTATAACAACCCCTTGATCCCACGATTATAACATGACGAATGTATTATATCATATTTGGTCGAAAACATTAGATAAACAAAATGTTAAATAGTTAACGCCACGTCAATCACCTACTTCGAATATCCTTTATCAAATGAAAATAAAATCGGACTTGAAATACTTGGATTTGGTTTATTCTAAAAGTAGATACTCGGATTTGGTGTATCCTAAATACTTGGGTTTGGTGTATATATAAATTGATGTGAAAGAATAGTACGTATACCGATACGGTATGTAAAAGTTTTATTTCAAGCATTATTTACGTAGAGGTCGGAAATTAAAAGTTTTAAATATTTACTATATATATATTTTATAATAGATAAGTATACATTATAACGGCAATTTCGCTCAACCGGAACAAATGATTGGCTGACAAGTGCCGCGAAGCGGCACGTGTCAGCCAATCATTTGTCCGGTTGAGCGACAATTTATGATCATGATTGGCAGGGAGTCATTCGCTGAGTTTTTTTTTTGAATATTGGAAAAACATAATTACATCGTAGGAGTTGACAAAAGTCAACTATTCGAAAAAAGGGGCAGAGCATTATTGTGCGACCGAAGCCACACACATGTTTCACTAACCCCGTTCATGCGTACCACCCAAACGCCGCACACATGATACGGCACATCCAATCAAACACCAGCGAGCCTCACAGAGCATTAACGATCGTTAAATAAATAAATAACCAGCATTCACTAATCAATTTCTAAACAACAATTTCCAATCTAAAAATTTTCCTGCCCCTCCCACCTCTCCACAATCACACAGAAAGAGTCACATGATTCTGCTATTCCAACAGCCGGCTTGCTTCGGCAGGCGGGAAACCACCGGCTGATATTTACGTTGACAATGCTCAACTAACTTCTACCTGGTCCGTTACAGTGATTCCCAGCGCAATATCTATTGCTAAACCTTCGGGATTATCACTGTTTCAGTCCTATTAGTCTTTGTACATGTACCTTATATCATATCTATCTATATCGGTCTCAACATACTGCTAGCTCTTACAGTATGATTTAATAAATTCACTGTTTTCGCCTCGTTTGGCTGGCTTCAGCCCACAAACCAATAAAGTGTGCCAATGTTTTTCGTAACACATGAAAAAAATAACAGTTTTCATGATTATATGAGTTTGTCGGATAACACGATAATCCAATTAAATTTGTCGAATATCAAAAATTTTTTAAATAGAAAATTTTTCAAATTCTATTAGTTTCAATTCCTGTCAGGTATAAATAACACACCTGTGATTTGACTGGGTGATTTTTTTTGATAATAGAACATTTTATTACTGCATTAAATTTTATGAATTATTTAGTGTGATACGTATACGTATAGTATTACAGAATTTTATTACAGTACGTACAGTATTACGTATTATTTTTTTGTCTTTTGTTATATAGATTATTAAGTGAATTATTATACGTATACTGCAATTTGTTATATAAAATATTATTAACTTGTTTGTTATTTAGTATGTTAAATAGAATGCTACGTACTGTATTACTTGATTCAAAAGTTATACGTATAAAAAATTTTTTTTTCAAACCAAAAAAAAATATTTTTTTCTCTTATTTTTTTATACTATTGTAACATTTTTAAAGTTAATTATTTTTTTTATAATGAGGCTTTGTTATAGTTGTAAATTTATTATAGTTCTCATAACGGTAACTTACCATCAGTAATTTATCAGTAACTTACCATGGTAAGTTACCGTGATAAGTTATCACTAACAACCCTGGTGACAATATCTACAATAATGATATGATTCTGATCAATTTGAATATTTTTCTTATCCTACACCCGGAATCCACCCGGAATTTTTTTTTTTGCCTATTGTCTGGACTTAAGATCCTCCGCTTTGCTCCGGAAATAAAATTTCTTTATTATCGTTATGCTTCGGAAATTATAAATTTCTTTATTATCGTTATGCTGGAGTGCGCAAGATTTTTCTCAATTTTTAATTGAAATGGCTGATTATGCTTGCAAAATAACTTATAAAGATTTAATTCGTTTGAACTCTTGTTTTAATTTTGTAATTAAATAACTGATAATATCATAATGCTAAATTGCTACTAATTGTTTAAATCCAGAAAAATATTTCACAAAGACTGTACTTTTTAGTATCGAAACACTTCAAATATAAAATTCGGTCTTAACTTTCAATTTAGGGGTGCTATACAGAAATATGAAATCTGTAGATCCTTGGGAACATTTTGATTAAATACTAAATATTTAGGAGTGGGAGAAAGGATTATAAATCCCGCAGTACAACTATCTGGACAAGCATTTTGTAAAATGTTGACAAATGTCAGCTTATCATGAGTCCATAAAGGTGTATTTTGTGATCCCGAAATATCATAACATATATAAGATTTTTTAGAAAAGCTAAATCCTTTTTTTTTGTTCAACTTTAAATCATTTGAACAACTTTCCGAACGAATAATACTGTAAGAAGTTAAATATTTAGTGATAATAAAAATAATTTATCAAGGAAAGCTAAAAATACAAACCCGCAATGAATAATAAGATCGGACAATTCTGGATGATTGTTTTGTCTAAAACATCTTGATTCGAGATCATAAATAAAATAACATTTAATTGTTGGGATTCATAACAAAAATGAACACCTGTCACCAATTTGGAATTCATTGGGATCACTTCAGATTGTTGAGGTATTCGTTGTGCGCATGTCGCTAAAAGACTATGGCCTTGAATATTATCAAATTGATCATAATTACCAATAGAATTTTCCCAACACTTAACTTCACAACTATGAGTAACATGAAAATCATGGCATTCATATTTGAAACTTTTTGGATGGCCAATAATAATCCAACCTATTTGTAGACTGAAGATTTGCGCCCCTTTGCTTTCACTGAGCCGATGGAGAGCTAAAGTTGCTGAAGAATAATCTGACGTATAGACGACACGAGTAGAAATCTCGTCACCTTGTTTTTTCGTTTTATCACCTTGTTTTTTCGTGCTCATTACGGATACAAAAATTTTGTATTCTTTTAGATTCGGCATTAAGTCTGTTGGTATTTTCAATTTATGATAGTATGAATATTCATGTGGTAGCATCGTAAATTCAACAGGATCTTTTGTGCTATAAATAATTTTTTCATTAATAGTTTTTTTAATAACTTTTTGATGGAGCTCAGGGTCTAATAAGTCAAACATAGGAATCAAGTCCTCATATTCAATTGCGCATAACCTTTCGTAGTCATTCAAGGAATTCAGCCAGAAGTCAAAATCAATGTTACCTTGATGAAATTTACTTTTATCTCCTCCATAGACACGAGTATAAGTCGTAACACTTGAAATTGAGGAAGATATATTTATTCCTTGATTTTTACTATATTCAAAATTTATACCACCAACAATTTCAGAGCCAAGTTTTCCATTAGCTGACCAATTTTTTTTAATTTATCCAGCTTTAAACTTGAAGCATTAGAATAAGATATTTTTTGTATCTTCCCACCAATTTTTACTTTTCGAGCTATAAATTCACCATATTTTTCACATATATTCTTAAACGCTTTAGGCTCATGACTATTTAAAGCATCTTCTACCTCCTTTTTAAATTTTTCGGTTGGTTTGATATTGCCTATTTTGAATGAGTACTTTTGTAACAACGTTATCTCATGCGTAGAGAAAAACTTCGTGTTATTAATGTTTGTGGATGAGCATTCATGTGCCATGCCTAAGCCAATAGATAAGTGCAGAAAATTAACAGAAGCTTTTACATCTGCTATCAAATTTTTACGCAAGAAATCTTCGAATGAATTTTCATATGTTTCTTTGTCTACTTTCCCAAAGTGTGGTTCATCCATGATATTCTGAGAAAACTCCAATGCTACCTCATTAGCTATTTTAGGTCCTTCATCAGTCATATTAATTCCATACTCTAATTTACAATTTTTTAAGATTACATTCTTTTTGTTGACATTAGGTAGTTTTCTAATTTGTAGAATATTATCTTTTGATAAAACATCTTTTAACAATTTATTGCTTTCAGAATCTCGTAAGATTATTGATGATGGGCTACAAAAGTACATATTATCTTGAATGCAAATTATTTCATTTTCATCTGAAAGCTGCCTTCGCACATCATTTAATGTGCTATCAAGCGTAAATTTCTCGCCAAGCTTATCATAAGCAACAGGAAAGTCATCATTAATCTTAATGAGGATTTCTTTAATGAAGATTTCTTCAGTAGATTCAGTAGGATTAAATATGGTTTCTTTTATAAAGTTGGAAATTGGCCCAATTAATTTCATGACAAAATTAATAACAATATGAATACGTATCTTCAATCTAGATATTGTACATTTTTTATTGATTTAAATCGGGTGATGTTTATGATTTAAATATGTCTAAACGTCACATACAAATATTCAGATCATAAACGTCACCTGATTTATTTAAATGCAAAAGTTACGGTTTTGATATTTCAAAAGTATCGTTCTTGACGCTTCTATAGTAAAAATATCAAAAACGTTACTTTGAATTTTCTGTCTGTCTCCACTCGCATGTTTGTGTATCCCGTTTCCTAGTTGTACTGTACATATAAATTTTTGTTATTTGTTATATATATCTAGTGAAACTAAAAGTGAACACTATTTAAGAAATTGTACGTACCGGTACAAAAATCAGTACGTACCTAGGTAGTACCTAGTGAAAATAACTCAATTTTTATAAGTACAATAACCCCGAAATACTTATTTGTGCTCAAAAAGGGGGTCCGCTAAAGCCTTGTACCCACGTGACTTTTATATGTAGATCAACCAATCAAAATCTTTACACGTATCAACCCGAAGAAGTCAAAAAATCAAAAAACGCAAAAATATGAAAAACGGCGGTCTAAACCTGTCTTGGTGCATTAATAAA